TATATATATATATATATATATATATATATATATACACATGGACTTTTGCTATGCATTTGCTACATTATACATCATTGGCATGATTTACTGAGAGTGAGGTCTTCTCATGGCATAAGGGAAGCTTTTAAAATTAAAAAGGAAATTTTACAGTTGCTAGAGGCAGTGTGGAAACCTAGCAAAGTCATAGTAATATATTGCTCAGGACATCAGAAAGGCAAAGACTTCGTTGCACAAGGTAACAATAAAGCTGACGCTGAAAGCCGAGAAAGACGATGCACTCAAAGCCCTGCTCTCACCACTCCAGAGGCCGGTGAGTCAAAGCACAGCTGAAGAATACCAACAAGGCCAACATGGATTGTTGTGTTGTGCCAGATCACCACTGCCTTAAGTTTTCTTGTTTTTGAACTGTGCGTGTTTAGGCCTAGTTACGAAAAGTTTGATGAATAATATGTGACTTTTAAAATGGTAAAATGGTAACCGGAAGGCTATCCATTTACAATATTCTTTGATAAAAACATTATGGGGGACCTGGGATAACTTCTGACAGTGAGGGGCTATTCTAATGAAAAATTATATTGCAAAGAGAAAACACAAGTTTGGATCAATGGCTCCCTTGTTGGACGAGCCACTGGTAATTGTAACAGTTGTAAACAAGGTCAATGTAATCCTATATCTATGTATATGCCAGCTCCATGGGATCTTATTTGGCTACAAGGCGTAATATATTTCATTAGGACAAGAAATTTTAAAAGATCTTGAAATTTGAGACACACTTCAGGCTTTAGAAACCTAACTAGATTCACTGGCCAATAGGCATGCTCTCGATTTGCCCACAGCCCAGAAAGGAGGGACTTGCTTATTTCTTAGTAAAGAGAGTTGTTAATATACTAATAAATCTGGTATAATACAAGAATCACTAGACAAACTGAAAGATCAGATCAAGGCTCTTGATGAGAAATTTGGTATAGGAGAGCTGTCCTATGGGATTAATTTTACTTGAGCAGGACGAAAAAAACTTGGATAGGACCTCTTCTGAGTCTCCTTTTTATAATATTAATATTAATGTATGGTCCTTGGGTCATCCAATGGATTTCAAAATTTATACAGTAGCACAGTGCTGCAGCTCAAGACTACCAAATGCTAATGTTAAGAAATGTAGATAAACTGGATAGAACTTGTAATGGATAGAAGAATTATCCCAAAGTAAACAGAGGGAGTAATGATATGGAAAAGTTTTAGATAACTTAATAGATTGAATATTAAGGTAATTGTAGAAGCAAAATAAGCAATGTGTTCAAGATTTGCTTTTCCCATAACTTCTTGTTTAAGGTGAGGATTATCTGACTCTAACCCATAACTTCATTAACCTAACAAAGTTACCATGCCAGGGAGAATTTACAATGTATATGGCCTATCTTGTGTCTGTGACTTGTAAGTAGGAACTGGAATTGTATTTACATATCAAAGACCACTAGGGATGAGATAATGGCCAAAAAGGATACAAAAAGGGAAATGCTGAAAAAGAGGGTGCGGATACTGACCAGACTGGTTTCTGGTGTTCCCGCCTGCTCGCGGGAAGAAATTTTATTATTTTATCCAAATTCTGTGTCTCTGTGTATTTCTTTCCGAGATTTCTGCAGCATAACTACATCATCCTTTTCTCATACTAGTTACCCAAGCCCTATTGCCACACTGTGATGAGACAAAAGTCAAGTGATATCTTCACATAAGGTGGGTTGTGATGCAGGAAAGGAACCAGAGTGTAGTGCCAGTCTTTTATAAACAGATCTGCCTTCTACTGAGATATGTTATAGATGTGTACCAATTCCTCAAAATGAATGAATCATGTATTATAAACATATAACAATTAAAAAATCCTTCCTTTCTGCAGTCATAGATAATATTTTTAATATTCATCTAAATTTTTAGCTTGCCCTTTCACATTTAAGTCTCTAATCCATCTAGACTTTTTAAATAGAATCTGAAATACATGTCCAATTTTATTTTTTAAAATATAACTACCTACTTGTCACAACACTGTGTATTGAGTAATCCCTCCTTCCCCTGGTTATTTGCGATGCCACCTTGGCCACATATTGTTTCCATATATGCATAGATCTGTTGAGATTCTCTATTCTATTATTCAATTATTTCTGAGCCAATGTCACACTTTTTAATTGTGGTAGTTTTACAAGAAGTCTATTTACATAAAAAATCTTCTACCTTATTTTTTTTGTATAGTGCTGTAGCCATTCTTGGGTTTTTTTTTATCTAGAAATTTTAGAATCATGTTAGTTCTTTTAAAAAGAAGAGTTTATCAACAAACTTATTAAAATCAGTATTTAATCTATAAAACAATTTGGAAAAAATCTACATAGCTGAAATTTTCATCTATATAAATATATGGGGTATTTATATATTTAGGACTTATAGCCTAGTGTTTTCATTTAACATTGGGTCATAAGAATATTTCTTATATAATTTTCAAAAATATAATGTCTACATTACTTTTTAACATGTGGATATACCACAATTTATTTGACTATCACACTCATTAATTTACCTTGGACATTTGATTGGACCTCCGAATTTTCCAATGATAAATCACTTTGCAACAGTATGGAATTATCCATCAAAGCCATAAATATCAGTCTTCCCCTTATTAATGTTCAGTGATTCACTATGACCTATAAAACACAATACAAACTCAAGGCATATTTTTCTTTAGCCTCATGTCATGCTATCTCTTCACATATTACATATGCAATAGCTATTCTGAAGAATTTTTAATCCCTAACTATGATATGGGCCCTTTACATATTCTAAAGTTTCCCTCCTCTTGTCAATTATTTTTAATAACAAGTAGTTTGTTTGTACCTCCCTCCAAAAGCTTTCCCTGTTCCCCACAGACAATTAGGACCTTCCTCCTCTGTGGTCCTATAGCACCTCAAATATATCTCTATCATATCACTCATTAATGCAGTTATATAGCTATATTCCCAATCAAAAGACTTCTCACTGGAGGCTCCTCAAAGAGAGGAAATGTGTTTTACTCACTTTCTATTTCTTTCAAATAGTGCCTTCCTCTTCTAGCAAATACACTTAATCCAGAAAGGCAGGCATGGTGGTGCAAATCTGTAATTCCAGCACTCTGGGAGGCTGAGGTAGGAGTATCTCAAGTTCATTTCCCACCTGGGGAACTTAGGGAGAACTTGTTTCAAAATAAAGAAAGTGTTGAAGATATAGCTCAGTATGGGTTTAAAAAAATAGTAATAATGACTGTATCCTTTTTTCCTTTCTTCTTTTTGAGTAGTGGGGACTGGACTTTACTCCTGAAGTATGTGCTTTATCACTTGATACACACCCCCAGCCTAAATGTCTTTTTTGTTTGTTTTGAGACAGGGTCTCACTATGTAGCCCAGGCTGTTCTCAAACTTGCAGCAATCTACCTGCCTCAGGCTTTTGAGTGCTGGGATTACAGATGTGTGTTACCACATCCAGACTGTCATTTTTAAATTAATAAATTATCCTATGCCAGAAAAGAAGTACAGATGTTCAGTTCCAGGGCTACTTACAGTATTTCCTATGGTGGGGTTCTGAAATTTGTAGCAATTTGGGCTATTCTATTACCACTGCTTAGTCTTGCTGCTATGGAAGCCAAAATTAATGCTAGGCAGGTGAAGTCAAGTAAAAACTGCTTCAACTTTTACACATAATATCCTGCTGTGATTATCTAGAACAATACCATCTTTGCTATTACAGCAAAGTGGTAAGACCTTTTAAAATAGTGTGAAACAGAAGGGTTCTGATTATCAAAACAGATTTTCTATACATTTTCCTGAAGTAGTCATTTTCCATTATTTCAGAGCACAAGAATTATCACAGTTGGGATATATTAATGAGCTTCTGGAGAGAAGGAAAGGGCAGCACTATCTAAGTTGGGTCTGTTTGGTTTATTTTGTTGAGACAGAGTCTTACTATGTTGTCCAGGTTGGTCTTAAACCCTAGGGCTCACCCAATCCTCCTTCCTCAGCCTCCCAAGTAGCAGGGACTTCAGGCATGCCACACTTTGCCCAGCACTTCCTGAGCTTTTAAAGAAGCAAGGGTAGCTGCTGCTAACTATGCCTTTCTGGATTGGGAACTGAAGTGAACTAAGGAGAAGTCAATGTTTATCTGGCTTAAAGATTTACCCAGCATGCTTCTGGGAACACAGATATTGGGAATTCCCAAACATTAGATCAAAACCTAAAGTAAATGTGATCAAGGATATTTAGATTTTTATGGCACACACCTGAATTCCAGTACTATGAGAGGTGAGGCAGGAGGAGCTGTAAGCTCAAGCCCAGCTAGGGCAATTTGGCTACTTAGCAAGACCCTATCTCAAAATGAAAAAAAAAAAGTACAAAGGTCCTGGGCTCAATCCCCTGTACTGCAAAAAAAAAAAAAAAAAAAAGAAGAAGAAGAAAGAAAGACTGTATTTATATTTTAAAAAGCCAAAATACCCAGTGCTTAAGGTTATTTTTAAAAGATTTCTAGTCAGTGTCAGACTAATATAACATAACGGTTAATAGTACAAATTTATGGTTGGATGGGGTGCCTAGATTAAAATTCCTGCTCAGTTACTTACTAGTTATGTCCACTTTGGCAAGTCATTTAACCTCTCTAAAACTAAGGTATCTCATTTGTAAAATGTGGGTAATAGTTCCTCTTTCATAGCATTTTTGTGGGGATAAATCAGTTTATAAAGTGTAAATATAACACTGTTTAAGGGGTTAGGACTATAAATCAGTGGTAGGGTGGGATTTAATACCTACCACCACAAAAAAAAGGAAAAAAAAAGTTAAGAGTGTAACTTCTGCAATATTTCCTATCCCATAGGGCTATTAAGAAGGTTCATGTATTAATATATATAAAATATTTGCAACAGTGAGGGCACACAATAAATGAAGCGGTTATTAAAATGTGTTAGAAATGGTGACATGTGCCTATAGTCTCAGCTACTTGGGAGCTGAGGCAGGAAGACTTTTTTAAACTTCAAAGTTCGAAACCACCCAGGCAATACAGTGAGACTCTTTTTTCAGAAAAAAAAAAAAGCTTTGCAAATAGTAAGCCTCAATAAATACTAATTAATACTATGTTTTTCTTTTTTTGGTACTGGGGATCAAACTCGGGTCCTTGCGCTTGTGCAGCAGGCGGTGAAACCACTGAGCTAAATCCCCGGCCCCCTAATTAATGCTATTACTAAACAACGGACTCAAAGCTCACAAGTTTTGTGGTTTTTGTTTGTTTGTTTATTTGCTGCTGCTGATCAAACTCAGGACCTCACATATACTACAAGATTTTTATTATGATTGTAGGGGGGTTTTTTTCCCCAAAGGTATTCAAAGTAATAAAAGAGAAAAGTGGCCCTTGTTTTACAAGACAATTACATGTCTGATACTACTTTCTTCTTAAAATGTTCAACTCCTCTGGCTATTTTGTAGTTTAGATTATGCCTTAACATTTTCATGGAACCTTCCTTGATGATACTCCAGTTTTGGTCTCCTTCCATATAGTTATCTAATAAATGTTTTGTGATTCAATATAATCAAGAAATTCCAGTATCCTCTTCCTAGGATTTTTTTATCCAACATAGTGATCTTGAGAATACAAGAAGGGGAAAGAAAGCTGAAATAAATTAAGGGCTTCCCAGTTATTGTTAACTATCAGAAAATCAAAGGTCAGTTAGAAATGGAATGAAAGGGGTCAGGGATTTAGCTCAGTGGTTCTGCTACCTGCCTTGCAAGTGTAAGGTCCCGAGTTCAATCCGTGGTACCCCCCCCAAAAAGGAATGAAAATGTTCATGTGCATGCGCGCGCGCGCGCGCACACACACACACACACACACACACACACACACAGATTGAAAATCCCTTACTCAAAATGCTTTGGGCCAGAAGTGATTTGGATTTTTTCTGATTATTGAATATTTGCATGTATATCATGAGAGGTCTTAGGGTAGAGATCCAAGTCTAAACTCAAAACTCATTTATATTTCACATATACCATACACAGGTAAGCTTAAGGTAACTGTGACTCATTACATGAAGACAGGTATAGAAGTTGCCATTTATGGTATCATGTTGGTACTCAAAAGCTTCAGATTTTGGAGCATATTGGATTTTAAGGTTAGGGATGAAAAAATATATATATGGTTATATTCATTTATAATGTGAGCAATATTCAATAGAGAACACAAGAAACTGAACACTAAACTAGTTTTGGCTAGGTTTTGAACAACAAATATAGAAAGGAAAAGAAAAAGTACTAATTTTACACTTAGAAATTCAGACTGAGAGAATAGTATCAAAGATCATACATACTTAGAGAGTGGAAGTGAATAGGTTCAAACCTAGATCTATTTTTTTCTCCCCCTTCTTCAATTAGTGCACCTTAATAATTATCTCCTGCTTGGACTATTGTAATTACTTCCTAACTGGTCTCCTTGCTTCCTTTCAGATCTAATCTACAAACGTCTCTATAATCTTCCTATAATTTGGTTTATGAGTGGTTCACTGTTCTGTTCAGAAAACTTCAATGGCTAAGGTTTTTTTCTTCCTAAGTCTTAAATCAAATGCAAACTCTTCTGCTTAGCATTCAAACTCCTCTTCCCAAAGTCTGGTCCCAAGCTTCCTTTCCAGAATTATCCCCACTACCAGAATTATTCAACTTCATGAACATATTCTCTGATCTGTGCACTTACACAAGGCCCCAGGTTTAAAATAATTTTGCACTTAATGTTCTGCTATTTCTGTCCTGAAATTAATTTTTAAACCATAGGCCATGTATGTTTATTTTACACTGGGTTCTGCAAAATACATTACCAGTCCTGCCTACTGTACATTATGCTTAACTTAAGAGAGCAAAACTGCACATTTACTAGACCCCCAAACAACAACTAGATTTTCACACCTCAGTACCACTATTTCCTTCATCTGGAACATCCATCTTGATCTCTTTTAAATAATTACTTGCATGATACTTTGAAAAGTTAGTTACAATTGATTATATGAAAGTTGAGACCACAAAAAGATACCCTTTTTTATCCACTACAACCCTTATTAAATAGAATTCTGGAATATTAAAACCTAATGCCCTAGGGGCCTGGGGATTTAGCTCAGTGGTTCCGCTCCCTGCCTTGCAAGCGCAAGGTTCCGAGTTTGATCCCTGGTACAAAAACAAAACAAAAAAACCCTAATGCCCTAGGGTAGACCTCAGCACACTTACTCTGTAAAGAATAAGAGAGTAAATATTTTAGGTTTCATGGGCCTTAAATTCTCAGTACTCATCTCTGCCCTTGTAGGATGAAAGAAGCCATAACAAACAAATGAATATGTTCCTTAAAAGAAAAATTTTTTTTGGTACCAGAGATCAAACTCAGGACCTTGCACTTTGTGGTGTCACTGAGCTAAATCCGCAGACTTTATGTTCCTTAAAATTTTGTGAATGTATACTCAGATATGAATTTCATATAATGTTCATGTTGCTCAAATCATGTTCTATAAGCTTGTCCCTCATAGAACCCTGTTGAGGACAGCTGCATTATAGGGACAAAAATTAAAATTAAAGAAAAAACCAGTGAGCATATGAAGCAGCAGGGCCTCATACTCAGGTACAGTGAAAATGGACATAACCATTTTGGAAGATAACTGGACTTTACTGAGGTAGATAATTTTTGATGACCGCGGAGTGTCCCTACATGTTTTGCTGGATATGCCAAGAATATAAAGCACTGACATCGCTTTAGCTAAGTCATTTTTTCATTTGCAGCAAGCAAAATTGAAGAATAAAGTTAGGCGGCTTACCACACATTGCAAGTGTGCTCCTGTTCAGTGTTCCTCCCTGTTAACATAACCAATTGTATGTACAGGGATCTACTGAAGCCCATTTCTGTTATTCCCACACATTTACCTCCCTGTAAGACTGGGAGCCTAGGGTAACCAACAGGAATCTGAAACTGCAGCTACTGCTTTTGCCACAAATTTAAAATATCCTTTGTCTCTGATCCAGGTATCTTACATATTCTACCAGCATCTGTAACCACAACAGGCTAGCTTTTTAGTTTGCTAAGTAGAGTAAAATCTCAGACTTTTCACAGTTCTTGATAGACATTATCTATGAAGAAAAACAGCTGTCTTACTTTCTTGTCACTGGGACAATACCCAACACTCACAACTTAAAGGTGGAAAAGTTTATTTTGGCTCACAGTTTGTAGAACTTTCACTCCATAATTGGCCAGCTCCAAGGCAGGGTGGCATGGCATAGGAGAAACAGCTTTAGACATGGCAGCAGGAAGCAGAGAGGAAGATCAAGGGAGGAAGAAGGGAGACAGGCCCTTCTAGGCCATGCCACCCAGTGACTTACCTCTTCCAATCAGACTTCACCTTCCAAATTACAGTTAGCTATAAACTCATCAGTGGACTGATGATCCAGTAGCTCCCCAAAACCCTACCTAGGAGCACATGAAGCTTTGGGGGAAACATCCAGATACTAAAACTAACCATAACTGTAACTATAACCAGTAACCAGCAATTTCACTCCTAAGTATAATCTCAACATAAACATACATAATGTGTACTAAGAGACTTGTACAAGAATGTTCATAAAAGCATTTTAAAACTTTATTTCTCATACTTTTAACTTTTCTCTTTAATCCTATTTCTTATTGAATGACCCTTGTGGTAATGGATGAGAGTTGGAGACATCAGTATGAACTCACTGTTAGCTGTTAGCTTAATTTAGATTTAAATGCATACAGAAATATTTATAGATATATACACAAATTAGTTTATATAACATACATTTCTTTGCTCTCTGAAAGAACTATTAGACACTCTAGAACAGTAACAGTGAACCTTTTAGAGTTTTCAATGATACAAACATCCCGCTGCAGCATGAGTTCCATAGGTTTATCACCACTGCTCTAGAAGCAACCTGCACACCTAGCACTTAGACTTTGGTATCCAATAACATTCTCCAACGAAAGAACCCAAGGTTCCTTGGAAAAAATGGCTCATTCTAGTTCTGAGACAATATATATGATGATGCTGGAGCATTTTGTAGTGCAAAAAAGTAAAGCTTAAAAACACAAAACCCCAAATCATATTAACAGGATGAAGAGCAGAAGAACCACTTACAATGAATAAAATTGGAACAATTTTTGAGCAGCAAAATGAATAAAACAGTATTATAATAAAAAGTATAAAGTCAATGTCCATGAGTTTATATTGATATAAACAAATAAATGTTTGACTGTTATGGAAATCTCGGAAAGAAATACACAGAGACACAAAATTTGAATAAAATAATAAAATTTCTTCTCGCAAGCAGACGGGAACGCCAGAAACCAGTCTGGTCAATATCTGCCCCCTTTGTTCAGCATTTCCCTTTTTAATATCCTTTTTAGTCATTATCTCATCCCTAGTGGTCTTTGATGTGTAACTACAATTCCAGTTCCTATTTACAAGTCACACACAAGATAGGCCATATACATTGTAAATTCACCCTGGCACGGTAACTTTGTTAGGTTAATGAAGTTACTGGTTAGAGTCAGATAATCTTCACCTTTAAACAAGGAGTTACAGGAAAAGCAAATCTTAAAAGAACACATTACTTATTTTGCTTCTACAACTACCTTAATATTCAATCTCTTAAGTTATCTAAAACTTTTCCATATCATGACTAAATAAATAGTGGAGAGGAAATAATCTCTTATGCAGATTTCCATATAATTTATATAGATACTCCAACCTCAAGATAGATGAGTGTAATTTACCATTCCTTGGATGAGGCTGAACATAGTAATGACCCTCTTCCTAGGAATACAGTATGGAAAGGGAAGGTAGGAGTAACTTTACATTTGAGAAACCTGACAAACACTACCTCAGCCAGGTAGTCAAAGTCTACACAGACAGTCATACCATGTTAATTTTGTTGCTGTTGTTGTTATACTGGGAATTGAACCTAGAACCTTAGCATTGAGTTACATCATTAGCCCTTTTTTATTTCAAGGTCTTGCTAAATCACTAATTGTCCAGACAATCCTCCTGCCTCAGACTCCCAGAGTGCTAGGATTACAGGCATTTGTCTCCAAACTCAACTCAATTTGATATTACATACTAGTGGCGGTGAACCTATGGCATGTGCATTACAGTGGGCTGTTTGTATCACTGAAAGCTCTAAAAGATTCACCATCACTGTTAAATACCAATGATAAAATTTCCCCTCAATAAACCATAGCCCATCCTATCATTAGAAAAACATCAAAAAATTCCAATAGGAAAACATGTCACAAATTATCTGAACAACACTGCTTAAAGCAATCAAGTTTATCATTCAAATACAGTAAGTGAAAAAGTATCTCAGCCAAAAGGAATCTCAGGAAATATTCCAACTATAAGTAATGTGGTATCTTGATTGTGATCCTGCAGCATATTAAAGGACATTAGGTAAAAACTAAGGATATCTGAATAAACTATAGAATTTAGATAATAAGAATGAAGCAATATTGGTTTATTAACTGTAACAAATATACCATACAAAGACGTTAGTAATAGGGGAAACTGGGTTTAAGATGTTAATAGAAGTTGAGTGAAGAGTATGTGGGAATACTCTATATTCTCAATTTTTGTGCAAATCTAAACTGTTCTGGAAAACAGTCCACTTTAAAAAATACTACTTTTCTTTCAAATCCCATTAAAAATCCTGTTTCCTCCAAGAAACTATTATTGATCCCATCAAATTAAATGAGATTTCTTATTCATAATTTGCCTTAGTATTCTTATTGAGCACTTAATATTTTAACTAACATGTTTGTTTAAAAACTTATTTCATTTCACACACTAAATCAAAAAATTCTTAATGTCAATCAAGTTTATATTTTCCATGCCACTTGACACAAAAGTAGTTCACAGCAAAATTTAAAAACTAACTACACCAAATAAAAGTCACTTTCAGTGATAGTGAGTTAATATCTCCCAGGGCAGTTTCATTCTTTTTTGAACAACTCTAATAATTAAAGTTCTTCCTGCTGGGTTGAAACTAGCTGTTTTATAATTCTCTCATTTATTGCATGCACGAATGACAGTTATCTAGCTCCATGAAAACACGGACACCTGGTAACCTTAACAGTGCTTAACACACCTTTGAAATTCAAAAAAATATTTGTTTTTGAGTGAGCAAGTCCACTGTCCAAAAATTGTTTCTGAAAGAGTAAATCAGGGGTAAGGGCTTGCTACTTTTATCCCTCTCACCCACTCTCTACTACACACAAGTTAATTGACTGCCTAGTTAATGACAGTTTACCTGGTAACACACTACCAAAATAGCAAATATGCAAAGACTGTAGTTGCTTTTTTGAGCACTTATCAGTATGTATGTGTATCAGTAAGCACTGTAATACACACTCGTTTAAATCTTCACACCCCATACACAGGTTTTCTAAACCATTTTAACTAATCAAAATTAAGAGATGTAATTTTGTGCACTGTAAGAAAGGAACTGGGGTCCATAGATCCCCATGTGTGTGCTGCTAAGAATCAGGAATTAATCAGAAAACAAGGGTGGAGGCAGCAAGGCTTCCTTGATATTCCCTGGGGGAAACTCTAGCAGCCAAGAAGAGGTCACGTGTACAGAGCTAGGCGACTCTGGTCAAAGTTGCCTCATGTCTACCTGACTTGCATTCTCCTCTGAAAGTAAAGCTTGGTCCCAACGGCCTCTTAAATCTTTGCCAGTTTCAAGGTCCTCAAATTCTGGACTTATTGCACAATAATCGCCAGTAAATCATTCTCCCTGCTCAGTCCCCTCACAGTGAGAAGCAGCTGGCTTACGGCAGTCCACGTGGTTTTTTTTCTTTTTGTACCGGGAATCGAACTCCGGTCCTTGTGCTTGCGGGGCAGGCGGCGGAACCACTGAGCTAAATCCCCGGCCCAACGCGGCCTTTTCTAGTCTTTACTTTTTAGTTGGCGAACAAAGCCTAAAGTGAACGAAATATTAATTCACAGGGTGGACGATAGGCCTTTTAACAAAGGAAGCAGTTCTCCAATTAGACGCAAAACGCCTGAGGCAACCCCTTTCCACACCTGAACTCGCAAAATACCTCACCTCATGAAAGCCTGGAGGTAAAGATTTGATCTTGGCAAGTCTGAGGGGGGAAAATTGGCAGAATAACAAAGAAAGAAAATCGTAAAGAGCTTTTTGGTGGCTCCACCCCCAGGGCCGCAAACGAACCTCATCTCCAAGTCCTCAGCGTGGCTTAAACCGCCCAAACTTCCAGAATGTTCCGCAAACTATGTGAGCGACATTGAGCTTCTGCGCAGCCGCAGACCCCACCAACTGCAGTCCTGCGTTTCCACCTCTTCAGAGGCTGAAGGTTTCTGCTAAGCTTTAAGGAGAAACAAGATTTTTAAAATCAATAAATCGATTGATCAATTGATTAATTTTTTTTATCTTACACTCAGTTATCTGGAATTGATTTCTTTTTACAATTTTCTAAAATTTAGAATCAGTTCTTGTACTACTCTTAGAAACATAAAATCAAAGTAGCCTCCAGTTTACCCAAATTATGAAAAAGAATCAGATTTTTATTAATGACTATAAATGTAACATACAGAAACTCGTGTGTTTGCTTTTTAGAACTCCATTATTTTCAGAACTGTCTGAAGCTTACCAAGTTATTAAGCACTAGAGTTAAGGTGAAATTTTTAAAAGAAAAAAACGACAAAAAAAAAAAAAAGGAAGGAAAAGGAACATCACCTTGCCTAGAGCCCGCTCTTTGGAATACCATTTATGTATCTTCCTTTGTAAAGCATATGTTCCTGGAAAAAAAAAAAAGTGCTTCAGGGCCTGGGATTGTAGCTCAGTGGTGGCCCGCAAGGTCCTGAGTTTGATCCCTGGTTCTGGGGAAAAAAAAAAAAAAAGAAAGAAAAGAAAAAGAAAAGTGCTCCAGGAAAAATTATATGTCATGTATTCATAATGTGGATTATTTTTTCCCCATGAAGTAACTATTTTGTAAGTTTTATATAACTAATATCAAAATTAGGTGCACTCGGCCAGGGATTTAGCTTAGTGGTTTCACTCCCTGCTGCACAAGTGCAAAGACCCAAGTTCAATCCCTGGTAACAACAACAACAACAACAACAAAACACACACAAAAACCCAAAATTAGGTGCGCTCTATTGCTGCCTCTGTTGGACAGTGTGTTAAGGCAGGACAGAACAATTCAGAAGAGTAAAGGCCCTGCTGCAGCCACACCTTCTGCGTGTGCGAACTTAGGGACTCAGCACTGATGTGGGCAGGGGAGGTTTGATGTTGCCAGGGGACCTTGCTTAGAAGGCCTTCACATCCAAGAGCCAGCTAACAGCAAAGCGGTAGGAAAGGTATCCCCAAGCAGAGTGCAAGGTAGATTCACTTTCCACCTATGATATGATACAATATGATATGATATATGATACGATATAATATGATATGGAGACTTGGATTTATTGAAAGCAGAGCCTCCAGTCCTGGAAGTGAAATTGGCAAGTGCCAAATGAGTCTATTCTGGGAAAGGCACTGAAGTTCTAGGCAACTCACCAGAATGGGGAGGGAGAGAAAAACTTAATTTTATTGAGAACTTTTTACTAGACACTTTACCAGCTAGTTTACATACATGATACTGCTACTCTTCATAAATGCTGTAAGGTATATGTGTTTTTTAATTTTAAAAGGTGAAGTTATTTGTCTAGGATAACATAGCTTGTGAGAAAAGAGCCAGAATTCAAACCTAAAGTTATCATATGTCTAGGTCACATCCCTACTTCTATAGCTCCTACTCCACATATAGACTCATTTATAAGATCAGGGACACACAATTTAAGTCACATGAGTAGCAAAATGACTTAACAGAAAGCTACAAAAAATGGAGATAATGTTGATTGTGTTTCCTTCTTTTAATTTATTCTTCAGTCAACAAATATTTGATTGTGTAACAGAAAAAGCCCAGTCTCTGAAGCTAAACAGCCAAGCTTCAATAGCCTGTTAGCACCACTTAGCTATGTGACTGCAGAAAAATGACAATTTCTCGGTTTTCTTAACCTAAGGATAATTTATGCCAACTCATAAGGTAAATATGCAAGCTTTTAGAGCAATGGCTAGAATATAATAATCACTCAGTATGTTGACTTACAATTACTGTTCCACTGTATCTGTCCAGTCCATTTTCCCACACTCCTAGACAACAATGTTCTACTTACTGCTATGATCTGAGTGTTTGTATCCTCTCCAAATTTATATGTTGAAATTCAATGTGACAGGATAAAAAGGTGGAGCCTTTGGGAGGTGATTAATTCAGGAAGACTCCAGGGTCAAGAATGGGATTAGTGGGCTGGGCATTTAGCTCAGTGGTTCTGTCACCTGCCTCGCAAGTGCAAGGACCCAAGTTCGATCCCTGGTACCAAAAAAAAAAAAAAAAAAAAAATGGGTTATGTGCTTTTTTTTTTTTTTTGGCATTTCTTTACATATTTTCTTTATTAAGGTGATAAATGGCTTTCAAGACAAAGTTTACCAAGGGAAAAATGAATCAAAGTTAATGAAGTAAATAGATCTTATAAGTATTCTCAAATCACACAGTGATTGTGATTACAGTATCTGTGCTTCTCCACAGGGAGAGGGAGCCACATTCTGGAAGCATATTAGTGGAACTATTAATATGCAGATTTATTTGATGAACACTTAAAACTTTATGTTAAATGAAACTTATTAAGCACATGATTAAGGCAAGTTTCAACTTTGTTAAATCTGGCATAAAGACAATGTCTTAAGTTTTGGCCTTAAATGACAGTCAAGATTTTGGTGATGGATGGATGTATGCTCTGATTTCCCCCATTGAATTCAAACCTTTCTGGCCATGTTGTGATACAATCACACTTATTTCCTGTTACATTCAAAGGACACTGTCTCACTTGATGCTCTCATGAGTTGATTGTTGGGAATAAGAGACAAGCATTTCAAAGGTGTTACAGAAGCACAGTAAGTTTAAGGGACCCAGTATTGCTCAGATAACAAGGCCTCTACTGTATATAAAATTAGTATCATTTTCCTGAATAAGAGCTACATGGCACAGACGAGAGTACTGCACACCTCTGCCAGGCTCTTCCTCATCTTCACTAGTTAGGGACCAGAAACAAAACCTCAAAAAGTCTCAAATGATTTAGATATCTAAAACATATTATGAGTATGGATCAATTTATATCAGCTCTGACACATAAATCTCTAATTATAGAATTCTTAAGCAAAGGACCACTGAGATGATATCTCAATGAAGTCTTTGCCTGAAGTTGCTCATACTCTGAAAGTTCGTATGTGTTCAACCTACACCAACCTGACCCCAAGGACAGGATGTGAGGCTCCGAGAACTGGCCACTATAGCATGAATGTATGTACATACATAAACTCAGCTGGAAAGGAGGGGGTTTGCAAGTAAAGCACATTACACACACAACATAAATAACTTCCCTTTTAAAAGTTACTGTGAGTAAAGGATGCAGAACATGATTTAGGCACTTACATTGCTACCAGATGCAGTAATTCACTTCAATAAGAAGTGATTGCTTCATCAACATGGTTTGTGGCATTGGAAGCTCCAACTCTGGATAGGATGCTTTTCATGATGAAATATTAATTACAAAAAATGACAAAGGAATGGCAGCAGAAAAAAAAAGTTTAAATTTACAGACACTTTAAACTTCTTTTGGCCTTTACAGCAACTATTATGTTAAAAGACAAAGTTGCTGGGGAAGCCACCTCACTTGCAAGACAAATGGCTATTACAAATTGGCAAATCTTGGCCACATATTGCATTTTTAAAGCACAAAACCACCAGCCGCCAGCCTCTTCCTGTGCATTCATAAATCATTTTCTTCTAATTTCACGGGCAGCAGAGGGATCCTGGTGCATGCACGCACACACCAGTATCCAGAAGGGCAGGATGCACTGCTGTCAGCTGAGCAGCACCCCAAGGAGCTCATCATCATAGGATGCTGCTTTACACAGGCAGAGTACAAACAGATTACATTTCTCAGGTAGAAGGCAAAAGTGGGTTTCTCCATCTCTGCTGCTCAGTTAGCTTCTTATGGCTTTCACAGAAAGCACCACTTAGGAATAGGCAATTCGGTACACAGAACTCCAGAGTTCCACTGGAGACTTAAGAATCGGGATTGGAGTCTTGATGCAGCTCATAAAAACTCAATTAAAAAGGCATCAAAAACCACATTTAGAATACAGCTGTCCGTGTGGGAAGAATGCAGGGTCCTGAGCCCCAGTGGTGTCCTGCAGAGCATGGCAGGGCAGGGCAGGGCAATGTTAGCAGCCTGTGAAAGTGAGGAGGAGGGGCCACATGCAGGTGTGCTGCAGCGCCCTGGGGACAGTCGGGCCCCTCCTGCCTGTGCAGGTGTCAGATCTTCACATGTTGGGACTCCACCATCTTGGCAAGCGTCTTCTTGATCCTCAGCGCTGTCAGCCTAGAGGCTGGGTTGTGGGCCCAGCACTCAGACATGAGCTTCAGGACCACGCGCAGACACTCAACACTGTTCCAGCGGTTGGACACTAGTGGCCGCAGGTGTTTGACACACACAACCTCCCACATGTCCTCGTAGGACGGGTCACTGGGGACCATGTTGTAGTATGGCAGCTGGTACTCCTCCACGATGCCTCCCATGACGCAGTGCCGGGCCATCTCCCAGATGATCAGGCCGAAGCTGTAGATGTCAGCCATGATGTAGGGCTGGAAGTGGTTTTTGTTCAGGCTTTCATCTAGTACCTCTGGAGCCATGTAGCACTTGGTGCCCACCCTGGTATTCAAGAGCACATCAACTTCATTTGTGTCACTGTTGAATTTAACAGCGAGCCCAGGTCAGCAATACAGCAACTTCCATTTTTCTTGATGAGGATGTTCTTGCTCTTGAGGTCTCGATGTGCAATTGCGGGCTTCCCTTGGGTGCCGTAAATCTCTGTGTGAAGGTGGCACAGACCACAGGCAGCGGAATAAGCCAACTTGAGCAGGGCTCTGGTGTCCAGTGTAGCGCACTTCAGGAAGTTATAGAGAGACCCATTTTCATGGTAATCAGTGATCAGGTAGAGCTGTGTCCAAGAACCCGTGCCTTTAATGTCTGCGGCTATGAATCCAAGTATATTCTCATGGCGCATCAGCACTGTCTGGTAGATCTCCGTTTCTCGGAACCAGCTTGCTTCTTCAGTGGTAAAAAACACTTTGACTGCCACCTTTTCTCCACGTCATTTACCCATCCACACTTCTCCATACTGGCCTTTTCCAACCTGCCGGACCACCTGAATCTGTTTGGCAATAGTTCGTTGAACCAGTAAGGGAAGTCCAGACCCACTCCCAGA